CTTTGGCAGTTCTATGTAGGTTCCAACTTGCTGATTCTTATTTTTTATACTCACTGTTGTAATTTATCAATTTCTCTAACTTGCTTGGTCTGTGATTTTCTTTGTCTTTAATTCCTCAGCGTCTTTGGGAGGGTGGATGGAAATACCATTACATACTGGGCAAGGCTTTTCGTTGCTTTTTAATGGTCATAAACCCTTAAAGCCACTCACCTTTCTGCCTCATCTTTGGCCACCTTCCTTGGCTGTTTGAGGCTGGATGGCATCCTTTGCCCAGTGGGATGCTGGTGTTGAGTGCAGGGACACCCAAGTAATCAGTCTTATTTTTCCCCCGTGAGGGTTTGGAGCCGTGAAGGTTAAACACACGTGTGATCCAGCTCCACTGTGTGTTCAAGCAGCAGATGCGCGGTCAGCTTAAATCCGACCCAGACGTGGAACTGAGGAAGCAGCAGATTCAGGTCCCCGTCTCATTCCCAGGCTCCTGCTCAGTGAGTGGAGGGGCTGATCAGCCCTGTGCACTGCCTACGTTTCTCCCTCTTGCACAGGGGTGAGTTTTCCTAAGTCACATGCATCTGCCCCAGTCTTTACCGCACGCTGCACCAGACTTCCTTCCTTTAGCCATTATTGAATGGTGGCCTGTTGTGTTACCTCCGACTTGGCTTTCTGTGTGTTTTGTCCTCATTTTGTCTCCTCAGGGGGAGTGTAAGGCCTGGAAGGGAGAGGTACTGCCTTCGCCCTCCTCTCCTCCCTCGTTGTGCTGGGCACACTAATTCCTTTATTCCCCGGAGCCCTTCAGCTCCTAACCATGAGAAACAGGGAGCCTTCACACAGCAGAGGCAGGTGCTTCCTCTGCCCCCAGCAGGACCCAGAGAGAAGGCCTGGGGCCACCCAGGGGCACCACTGTCCAGAGCCTCTGACAACATCTCTCTGACCCGACTGTCTCTGCGTCTGTAAAACGGTGTTGGTGCTGCTCACAATGGTCATAGTGAGGCTCAGTGGTGTGCTAAGTGCGTGCGGGCGCTGTTCTAAGCACTTCGTATGTCATAACTGTCAGGTAGTCTGTTTTTATCCTCCTCTTGCAGCTGAGGGAGCCAGAGCATGGAGGGGTCCAGTAACTTTTGCCCCGGATCACACGACTTCCTGGCTTTCCAGTCCCTGCTCTTGGCCGCTGGCACTGGGTGGTCAGGGAGAGACCCCAGAGAGAGGGCTGCTGCTGTCGGTGTTGTTGTTAATGTGCCTTAAAAATTGGGAGCTGGTTGACCTCATGTTTGGAGTGTATTTTAAGATCTTTTTTTGAAAATGAAGTGTTTGCTAGATTTACTTCCTTGAAGGCAGGGTCTCTTTTGGTTTTCTCTTTAAATCCCCAGCACATCTGATTAGGCGCCCCTGGTAGGGACTCGGTAAATGTCTGTTGGCCAAGTGAGACAGTGGGAGAAATTCTCAGACAGAAATGCTCTTGTGCCTGCTGTCAGGAGACCTTCCCGAAGCATTGTGACCATGGGTGGGTCACTAGGCCTGTCTCATCACCTGTAATCAGAAATAATGCCACTGCAAGGGAATATTACTTGGCCATAAAAAAGAATGAAATAGTGCCATTTGCAGCAACATGGGTGGACCCAGAGATTATCCTACTAAGTGAAGTAAGTCAGACAGAGAAATACAAAAATCATATAACACTTACATGTAGAATCTAAAAAAGAGATACAGATTTTATTTACTAACCAGAAATAGACTCACAGACATAGAAAACAAACTATGGTTACCAAAGGGGAAAGGCAGGGAAGGATAGATTAGGAGTCTGGGATTAACAGATACACACTGCTTATATATAAAGTAGATAAACAAGGACCTGCTGTACAGCACAGGGAACTATATTCAATACCTTGTAATGAACCATAATGGAAAAGAATTTGAAAAAGATATATCTGTGTGTATATGAATAACTGAATTGCTTTGCTGTACACCTGAAACTAACATTGTAAATCAACTACATTCAATTCTTTAAAAATTAAATTTGAAAAAATAATAATACTGTGGACTTGGACATTGTTGTGGGAATTAATTGAGATCTCTAGGCAGGTGGGATTTGTACTGCTCGTACAAAATGTTACTCTGTCATTTAGTTTGCTTCTTTATAAATGTATTTTTCCCACAGTTTTCTGAGCCTGGGTGTAAATGCACTCGCATTTTTGACCAGCGTAGCTTTTGACTCTCTGTTTCTTCCTCCCTATTACAGTCCCTAAAGGACAGTCACCCTTGGACGATGGCGGAGGCCATTTTCCGCCCCCCAAAGAGGAAGAGGAGGGTGTACGAGAGCTATGAGTCCCCGTTGCCCATCCCCTTCGGCCAGGACCGCGGGCCTGGGAAGGACTGCAGGATGTTCCGGGCCGAGATGAGGAACAGCAGTGTGATTGTGAGGAGTGCGGAAGACGCGGAGCAGCTGTACGGGAGAGTACGTGCTTCCGGCCGCTCTCTCCCCGTGCCCCCAGAAACCGCCCGTAAACAGAACGGCTCAGGTGCTTTCCCTGCAGTGGGGTCCAGTGGGGCAGCAATGCCCCAAAGCCATTTGTTCTGAGGATAACCACCATCCACAAACCCACATTTCAGCAATGACGTCAGGTCAATGCATTGGCCTCTCTTGTCTTTTGATTATAAAAGCAATGCATCTTCATTGTTATCCACGCAACCTACGGAAGTGTAATGGGTGAAAAGTAGAAATTCCCTGCTAACCCCTGTTCCACCCGCAGAGGTCACGGGGAGTCGCTCTGGCCCTGGGACAGATCCAGCGTGTCCTCTGGCTCCTTACCTGCTCTCCCTCCTGGTTGGGGAGCAGGACCTCTGCTTAGATAAGGACAAGTTCCAGTTTTTGCTTTTTTTCCATCAGTGATAGGTTTGGGTTGAGACTGGAAGCTTGCTTATTTTGCCCCCATAGCCGATTCAACACTGGGGGCATTTTTAAAACAGCTTTATTGAGGTATAATATGGAGCCATATAATTCGCCCATTCTAAGTGCTGAGTTCAGTGACTGTAATAAACTCAGTAGTGCAGCCACCAGTGCAGCCGAGTTCCAGACATCCCCATCGCCACAGAAAGTTGCCCTGGGCCCGCTGTGCTCTGACCCTGCCCCTACCCCCGGCCTGATGCTCCTAACCCATTTCCTGTCTATAAATGTGCCTTCTCTAGACATTTTATACAAAATACATGTTGTGGCCACCTTCCCCGAGTAGGATACAGTGGGTGGCACTGACCCCAGGGGGCGGGGTCTAGGCTGAGGGCAGCCCCCTCCACACTTGCGATACGAGACATTAAGCAAGAGGCTTTGTGAGGCACTGTCCACGTGGCTCATTCTGATCGTTAACACCCGATGGAGAGTAGAGGGTGTTCCTCTTATTCTTTCAATTTTCTACCGGTTTAAATTTTTCAAACTTTAAGAAATAGGGGGGATCAATGTTTTTGGACTCGGCAGGGAGGAAGAGCCAAGTACTTCAGTCCCGGGTACAGGAGAATCCCAGGAGCCTCTGGGCCCGGGAGGCTCGGCCCCTGCGCTCAGGCTCCAGCTCCCCCCACCACCACCACGTGTGAGGAAGCCCTGCCCCAGCCCACGGGCCTGGCCCCAGACCACTACCGATGGGACGGCCGGGGTGCGTCAGAGACTGACTAGCTCCCTCCTGAGGATCAGAGAGGGAAGGCGCCAGGATCTTCACTTGTAGTCCTGGGACACTCAGAGGGAAGAACTGAAGCTGAAATTGAAGGAATCTCTCGTTAACTCAAATAGTCTCCCTTAGCCAAAAAGCTGGTAACTCGGAAAGCACTAACTCAGTCTTTTCTCTTCCCGGAAGGGCTATTTCGGAAAAGGTATCCTGTCTAGAAGCCGTCCAAACTTCACAATTTCAGATCCTAAGCTGGTTGCTAAGTGGAAAGGTAAGCCTGTGCAATGTTCAGTTCTTTTGGCAAATTATCTTTTCCTTTCATTTTTCGGTCTTACAGCAGGTTATATGGTAAAATTCTAGGGGAGACGTAACAAGCCACTGGCAATTTTATTGCTAACAATAGCAACTAGAATAGTTCTAATCAAGGTGAAAGGGCTCCTGTGACTGGAGAAAATGTATCTCATCTGAGTTCTGGCATTATCAGAAGTGTTACGTGGGCTTTTCTGTTGTGAAGCATTTCCTAGCAGAGTACTGTGCGTATGGAAAGTGCTGGTAATTAAGTGCCTGCTCACCTGGATGCAAAAAGAGTTTTATGTTTTGTTTATAGAATTAGAATTTATAACAATAACCGTGACACTGATGCATTTGTTAAAGCATACCAATGTGTGTGGTTCTCATTTGCTGTTCCTATTTTGTTTATAAATCTTTTATCTTGGTGTACTTTTCTAAGTGAAGAAAGCAAAGGAATGGAAAGTCTGCATGTGTGCTGTGGCTTATTTGGGGGAAGGGAATATAAAGACATCTTTGAAATATATGGAGGGATAAACCGTAATTTTTTTAATACCTGTCAGGGGAAGGATGGAACAAGATGGAGAGAGAGGTGAGACTTTGTAGATTTGAACTTGGAACCTTGTAAATGTGTTATTACATGATTACAAAACAAAGCTAAATTTTAAAAAGTAATTCCTCTGAAGAAAAAAAAAAAACAAGGAATCTGTATATCAAGTTGGTGGTGTAGCCACAGGGGAAGCTATTATGTGCAACTTTAAAACATGGTCATTTGACTGTTCAGTCCTAATGGGAGAGACTCTGTATCTCCTGCCACAATGTTGTTTAACAGACCATCCCAAAACTCAGTGGTTTTCAACAGCAGCCAGATTGCTCAGTTTGAGTCTACAGGTTTGCTGGGGAGGTCCACTGCTCATGGCTGCGTGTGCACATGCATCTGGTTAGTTACGTGCTGGCTGCACTCGTGGACCAGTCCAGTAATGGTTCCAGCTGGACTCACCAATGTCTGGTTGTCTATTGGTTGACTGCCTGCTGATCTAGCCTGGCCTCAGCTAGGATGAGGGGTGGAGGGCCCTGTGCGTGTCATCCTCCTCAGGCCAGCCCCGGCATTTTCTCACGGTTATGGTGGAGAGTCAGTAGCGGTCCTCAGCGGGCCAGTGCTCCTCAGGCCTCTGCTTGCACATGTTTTCAATATTCCACTGGTCCAGAGTCGAGAGGTTTGGCCAATGGAAGACCTGAGGAACTGGGGCCACCAGTGCAGTCAGCCTGCCGTGTACTCTAAGGAAAGAAAGAGCTGCAGAGTGATCTTGACATTGTTCTCAGCAGTCATCTCATAGATGGTGGTGTTGGTTCTGTTATCCTGAGACGGTTTCGTGGATATTGTGCGATAAAGCAAATGAGTAATTATGTCGGCGTGGTTGAAAGCCAGGATTTTTTAACGTGAAACATCTTAACACTAGGAAGCAGGAGTGTGTTTTAAATATCTTCATAGAGTTTTAAAAAGGGAGAGAAAAAGTAGAGCAAATAGGATAATAACCCTGCCTTCCCCCTCCCCCAGCTCTGGCAGTTACTATTTGGCCAAAAAAAAAAAGTTTTCATATCATGTAATGATCTTAAGAGTTGAGAATCTTGTCCTGATCTGTGTGGTACTAAGTTTTAAACAGTGAGAAGTTTGAAGGAATTGAATTTATGCCACGGAAACAGAGATTAAGGCTGTGGGCTGCCCTGAGGAAGTAGATCTCAGATGTCCGTTTCAGGGGGTTCTTCAAAATCAGGCTTCACCCTCACCTTCCACCCTCCTCTCTCTCCACCCTCTTCTACTTTTGGCACCAGGCCATCCTGGGCTGCTTGTCATTCTGTGACCCTGCCGTGCCTTGCAGTTTCCCAGCCCCTGTGCATGGTTTCCTCTGCCTTTTACCCGGTCCACCTGGCGAACTCCTACTCATTCTTCAGAGCCCCACTCAGTTACTCCTCCTCTGTGCTTTTCTTAACCCTTCCAAGTAAAGTTAGTACGTTACTTGCCCACATATCAGCTTGGGTTACAGTCATTGCTGGTCTATCTCCCCAACTAGATTGTGAGTGTCTCAAGGAGAGGGAATTCATTACTTCTGTATTTCTTGTGCTTGCCATATGGAAGGCTATCAGTAAAACTTGCTAAATTGTTGTTTGCTATTGAGCTACCAGAGGAGGGAGATCATGACATCAAGAAAACTGTCAAGTTCCTAAGGAGTTAGGAGTCTGAGAACTCACTTCTGTAGGATTTTCAAGTTGAACATCATTTAGAGCCCTGGAGGGGGGCTGAGTTTGGAAGAGGAGAGAGGACTTGCCCAAAGGCAGAGTCTAGGAGGCCCAGGACTAAAACACACCAGGTGACGTGAGAAACATTTGAGGCAGAAAGACTTCTGGCCAGAGGCCCAGAGCTAGAGCTGGAGCCCAGGACTCCCACACCCACACCCAGACCTAACACCACCCCTTTCCTCGGGCGCCTGTGAGGAGCTGTCGCTGAAGATGCTTTGTGGAACATGGAGAGCAGGGTAACATGTGGAACTTCAGGGCCTCAGTGCCCTCATCTGGAAGTTGAGGGCACAGGCATTTGGGGGTGGCAGGTTTTCCCCTCCCACATTGCCGCTGCTGCTTAGCCAGCACATTGACAAGAATTCCGAGGTCACACTGAGTCCAGCAAGCATGCCGACAGGTCAGGAGCACTGGCCCGGCCGTGGGCGTGGGGCCTGATGGCATGGGAGGCATATGTTTACCACAGCTGCGCAGACAGGATCAGTCGGTGTGAGATTTTGTGAATCTTGAAGTACTCGTTGTCTTTTCCAGGTTGTCAGTGTGTTTTTCTCCTTAAGGAAAATGTGTCTGAACTAATAAAACTTTGTTGTTACAGGTGTGAAGACAGACATGCCTATAATCACATCACAGAGGTGAGTCTCGGTGGACTTCGGCCTTGGTCAGAATTATGGTTTAAGTCAGATCTGTTGTTAGGTAGACTCTTGTGATGTGGTTGTCCTCACCTTTTTTTTTTGGTAGTATGTATGTCCTTGAAACTTATGTCTGAATTTAATGTAGATCAAATCGTATTTGAAATGCACTAAGTTTATTTTAAAAAATAATCCTAAGCTGAATCATTTGCCAGTTAAATCCCTTCCAGAATATGAACCTTCTCCTGTAATGTACGTTGTCTATAAGTGCTGAGATCCTCAGATGTAGAACTGGCCTCCTGCCCTGTGCGGGCATAAGTGGCCCCGTGCTCCTTCCTTGCTCTACACGTGTGAGGTTAGGGAAAGAGGCTTTCCCACAGGCTCCCCCACGACTCACACAGCGGAGACTCCTTCCTCTGGGCTTTTGTTTATGCTGTTCCCATTTCCCGGAGCTCATCTCCCTGCCTGGCTGTGGCTGCACGGCCCATGGCCCAGCATGCGTGTCTCTCTCCTCTCTGCCCGCCCTCAGCGCTGGGACTGTCCCTCCGGATCCACGGAGCCTTCCCTGGCACCTACACCGGGATCAGACTGTGGGCTGATGGGGGTCGTGGACCACGCCCGGTTCCTCTTTGCAGCCCCACACCCCATGGTCCCTTGGTAGGACCCATTCCTCCATCTAAATCCTCATCACCCCTGAGGCACAGCTGGAGCTGCATTTCTTCCAGGAAGCCTTCAGAACCGCTCAGGCCACGATCATTCTGCATCTTGCTCCTGGCACCACTGGCCGAATCTAACAGCTCCCTTTGGTTTCGTGGGCGGTTAGCCCATGGCCAGGGGAACCTGGGAGATCTCAGAGGCTGTGTAGCCACCGACTGGGGGTGGGCAGGGCTCTGGTCGGAGGTGGGGGCCTGAAAGGCCCTGGCCAACCCCTGCCCCAGGCCAGGCTGCAGCAGAGAGCAGAAGGCTCCCCGCAGAGCCGCACCCTGACGGCCAGCCGGAGGGGCGGCGTGCGGCCAGGCTGGCTGAGTGTGAGGCTCTGCGTCGGGGAGGCTGCCTTCCACCCACGGGCTGTCCCTCGGCCAGCACCACAGCGAGGGCTCCATCAGTCCTTGAGTGTTCCCACGGGTGCCGTGACAGTACAGACTGAGCAGACGTCACTGTTCTGGAGGCCAGAAGCGCAGAATCCAGGTGCTGGCGGGGCTGTGCTCCCTCCGAAGGCTCCGGGGAGGGCCCTGCCTGCCCTGTCTTAGCTCTGGTGTGGCCGGCCTGGGCCTTCCTGGGCTTGTAGACGCATCACTCCTGTCTGTTCCTCCGTCGTCACATCATCATCTCCTTTGTGTGTCTCCAGATCTCCCTCTTCTTAAAGGCCACCAGTCAGTGTGACGTCATCTTAACTGGGTCATATCTGCAAAGACCCTGTTTCAGACACGGTCACATTCGCAGGTGCCGAGAGTTAGGGCTCCAACACACCCGACAGGTCTGTCAGGAAGTCACGCCCTCCCCGCCCCCCACCCGTCATACGCGGTTCATCATCTGTTCATATGCTTGCCATCACAGTCAAAATTGTGTTAAATGTTAGAAAAAAGGACTCCTTTTTGTATCTTTAGGCTAATTTTCCAACTTAAGTACTTGTAATTGTTTCTTTACTGTTTCCTCTGAAATTCGGATCTTTCAAGTAGATTCACCCTAATTGGCCCTTTTCCAACATTAGTTGTCCTTGGGTGAGGAGAACCTTCCGTGTGACCCTTCCTGGAGGCGTGAATCCAGGCCCTCAGGTGATGCCCTCGGGGGCTGACGTATGTGGGGTGTGTCCTGGAAGGACCAGCCCTGGGTGGTGCCGGCCCCCTCTTCACTCGTGGTCCTTCCCCAGCCAGCACCTGTGGCAGGCGCCTGTGTGTCAGTGTCAGGCACTGAGTGGGTGCCGGAGAAACAAGAGGAGGGAAGACCTCAGTCCTGTTCTCAGGGACGATGGTCCAGTGTGGTGGGGGAGGGTGGCCGCACTCTCCTGTGATGAATATCCCGACGGCGTGTCTTCATCCTGCCTTGATCGTCACGACTGCCCAGCGCTCACTGCTCCAGCCGTGCCGGTTACCAGTCCACGTGCTTTACCCAGGTCCTCTCAGTTCATCTTCTCAAGAAAGCTCGGAGGTCGGGATAGTTGTTTCCGTCTCACACGTAGGGAACCAACAGTTGACCTGGAGTGCGTGTGCTCGAAGCCAGCAGCCCAGCTCGAGCCTGGGAGGAGCTGACACGTAGCGAAATCAGTAACATGGTTGTACAGCTTCAGAACCAGATCTGGGGCGGCGCTCGGCCCCGCACGGCAGCCTTGCTCCCGAAGAGCACTTCATTAAGGGGCTTCCATCCATTAAAATGTCGTTTGATTTTTTTAATGTAAAGCGTATTGAGTCAAAATGGTTCTATTTTTCAAGGCTCCCCTAAAAATCTCACAATCATAAAGTAACAAGTATTTAAAGAGCACTTACTATGTGCTGAGGCTTCACATGTCTTGTCTGCTTTAATCCTGCACAGCCCCTGAGGTGGGCACAGGTGTCCCCGAGCCTCAGGGGAGGGCACGTAGCTCGTACAAGAACCTCGTGGAGTGAGGATTGGAGCTTTCCTGCCCTCACCCGCCTGCTGCAGAGGGCAGAGCAGGGCCCCTTTGTCTCTGTCTGTCTGTCTCTGTTCCAGATCTTTTACTCAAAGGGGGAACCATTGAACCTTGATTCAGTGGTTCTTTTACATATTTTAAATCAAGGAATTTGATAAAAGTTGTGGATCCCTTCCCCAGAAAAATACACATGACACAAAAATTTGTGCTCGAAGGAGGCTCACAGACCCGTGAAGCCTTTAGCCAGCATTACAGGTGACGTGGCAGGCATGGATCTTAGGTCTCCCACGTGAATGCTGTTCTGACGGCACTCGAGAGTGGTTGGACAGGAGGAAACACATTTTACCCTGATTATGAAAAAGAGCACATGGCACATCCTATGGTGGGGAAACTGAGGGACAGAGCAGTTAAGTAATTGGCTTTGTCACCCAGTTATGAGGGACAGAGTCAGGGCTGGACATGAAACATGCACCCCAGGGTCCACGCATGTAATCACCGCATCCTCCTGCCTTGTGGGTGTGGAGTAGCCCTTCCAGGTCTTCCCCTTGAAATCTGCGACACAGTTCCCAACATACAGGGATGTGTGCTCTTCCCCGTGTACCATAAGCAGGGTGTGGTCAGCCTGGAGATTCTTCGAGGAATCAAGGTTAAGCAGCCACAAATGTCTTCCTTAAACTCAGCAGAAGCCAGCGTCCTTGCTTCATCGTATGTGAGTAGCAGTTTACCAACTGTGACATATTCCATCATCCACATGCAGGCAGAGAATTTAGGGTGAAAAGGAAAAAGACATCTGTCTTCCCGCAAGCCATGTGTCTTCCCAGATGCTCTTCAGACCGACTGCTGTCGGTAGAGGCAGAAAGTGCCTGAGTTTCGCCATGTCTTTGGCCTTCGCTGATCAGATTCCTCACCCATGTGGCGTCCCAGGTCCCTTAACACCCCCAGCGGCATTGTCAGGTGCTGACCTGCTTCACTGGACAGAACCCTGTCGTCTTACCTGTAACGTGGGAAGTGTCCAGGGGTTGCCTTCAAGTTTAATGAGCTAATAAGCATGTATTTTCTTATTAAGACATACTTTGAAATTTATGGGAAAAAGGGCCATTTCTATTAGGATGTTTGAGTGTATATAACTGTAACTATTTCTTTCCATGTGTAGTGGAGACATGAGTGAACACTGAACAAGGCTACTGAAATTCTCACTGGCTTTCCAGTACTGAACAAAGACTCTTTTTGTTGTGAGTGGGATACAGGTCTGGAAATGTCGTGATATCCAGAATTGAAAATAATACCAAACCCTGACAAAAGATGCCTGTTTTCCCTTTATATTTACTTAAATCAATTAGTCCACTGGTTTTAAATTACATAAATTTTCACCCTTGGTTAAACTGGGTTTTTGTTTTCAAAGCAAGCAAATTAAATGAAGCTCTATAATAAAAGCAACCAAAAAGTAACATAATTATTGCAGAGCAGTTATAAAATGCAGAAAAGTATAAAGAAAACATTTACCCTAGCCCAGCCATCATTGAGGAAAGATGCTGTGAACGTGCTGCCCGCCCATCTTTTTCACATGTTCCGCTGACATTTCTATTTCGCAGGTACCAGCGTAGAGTAGAATGGGCCACAAAGCTCCTGCAGAAACAAGGTCGGGATCAGAGCACAGTGCGTGGAATCCTTGAGGATTCCACGAAGCCCCTGGAACATCCTTGTACAAAACAAAGCGAAGAAGTCCAGTTGTATAATGAGCTGAACTCTGAAATGGTTTCCAACATGCAAGGCACAGCCGATAGAGAGAGACTTTCTGAGATGAATGGGGTCGTGGGAGATTCAGAGGACCTAGAGGATCCCAGCGTGCCACCTGACCACCCGCTGAGGGCTTCCAGGCACAACCCGCTGACCGCAGGTGGCCCGGCTGAACCCGCCGTGGAGGTCGCTGCCCCTCTGCCCCCCGTCCACCGCGGCAGACAGGATGCTCCCCTCCCGTGGTGTGACACTCAGCCTGAGGACAGCAGCCGAGGATCGGGTCTCATCTGTGCCCAAGAGGGAGGGCCTGACCACGAGTACGTGCTGGTGGAGGAAGTCGTGAGTGATGGGGAAGACGCCCCGGATGGGGATGTAAGTAGAGGAAATAGATGAATTCCTCCAGCGCTGTCTGGTTCTGGCCCAGAGGAGATGCTGGCCAGCCCAGGGATCCCTTACTCGGAGCCGGTAGTGGGCACATGTTAAGCACCCAGGGCGTCGGAGGTGGGATGCAGGACAACCACCTGCAGACCCCCGAGGAAACCAGCCAGCCCTGGGTCCCAGCCCTGGTGGCTCAGGAGTTATGAGGCCTGTTTCAACTGAAACCTTGAAGTCTGTGAATGACTTAACTTTAAATTGTACATATATATATAAAGTAAAGCAGGTCAGTAATATTCTCTCCCTTGCTGGTGGAGAAGCAGCGCAGTGGTGATCCCCCTGCGTTGAGTGGCCCTGCAGGGTTGGATGGGCGGTCAGCCTTCATGGGAGAAGCAGGGGAGCAGAATGGGAGCCACTTCATTGAGGGGCATGCCGGGCAGTTGCCCCAGAATCACCTGTCGGAGCTCAAAACGAGAAGCAGTCTGACAGTTACTGTGTGAAGCACCCATTTGAAGGAATGTTAACTGACCTTCAGAATGAAGTTTGTGAAGTCTCATTAAGAACCTAGGCTTTTGTAAAATAACTATAATGCAATAAAAAAAAAGTAAAAAGAAAAAAAAACCTAGGCTTACAGGACAGAGGGTATAGCTCAGTGGTAGAGTTCATGCTTAGCAAGCACGGGGTCCTGGGTTCAATCCCCAGGGCCTCCATTTAAAAAAGAAGAACAGGATAACCTAGGCTTATGCTCGTGAGGCGCAGTTGGGTGAGAAAAAGCACATAGAACTGACCGGCGAGATGTTCACAGCTGCTGAGGGGTTCACAGGGTTAACGCAGTGTTAGTGTGGCTGACCCTTGAACATGTGGGATTGAACTGTGCGGGTCCACCTATCGGAGGGTTTTTTCCAGCAGTGAACACGCCAGCTCTGCAGGATCCGCGGTGGCTGGATCCGTGGGTGCAGAGGGCCGGCTGCGAGTCATGCGCAGATTTTCCACTGCCCGGAGTGTCGGCGCCCCAAGCCCCACGTTGTTCAAGGGTCAACTGTAGTTTAAAAATAAATAAGTAATTTTTTTGCCACATAAGTAATAGAAAAGTTTTTTTTTTAAAGAAATAATGTAGCAGATGTGAATCTGGGAAATTTAGAAGGAGAATGTCCCTTTTAAAACGCAGCCTCTGTGTCCCCTGTGGTGTTCGCAGCTGTTGTGCATGTATTTTCTTTTTCTCTCCAGTTGTCGCAAAAAAGGAGGCTGATATGCAGAAGAAATCCGTATAGGATCTCTGAGTACTTGCAGCTCAGCCTGGAAGAGGTATGTTGCCAGCGTGTTATCTTCTCAGCTGTTGGCTCCCCCAGCCCAGGCCGCCACCACACAGATGAGTCCACCTCAAAGTGCAGTTCTGAGCACAGTTTAGTAAGTGAAGATCACGATTCAGTGTCGTCACCACCAGCAGCTCCCACGTTTCATCAGTTCCAAGGTTTCCACTTGGGAGTTTTCCCCATATTCATTCCACAGAGGCTTCAAGAGATTTGAGCACTCTTTTCACATCAAGGTTTCATATTGTCCAAATGTACCAGCTTCTTAAAAAGAAATACAGGCTTACGGAGGTACGGTGCACGTACCGTTCACTCATTAAAGCTGTGCATTTCAGTGGTTTTTGTTCCTATAAAATAGTGCTGTGTTCGTAGAGTTTGACCAGCTTTTCATAAGCCGAGATGCGTGCCTGCAGTCGGGTAACGATGATGCTAATTATGGATCCTGAGTGCTTCCCTCTGCAGGGCTACTGCCAAGTGTTCGCTTTACTTAACGCCATACCTGCATTCTCACAGCCTGGCTGAAACTGGCTTTCTAAACCTGCGTCGTATTTTCCCTCTGATTTGGGGTTCCTCTGTGCTGTGTTCACCGGGGCTCGGCTCCTCCCTTCTTGCTGATGTTTGCACGGGACAGATGTGAAGACAGCGCCCCTCTGTCCGAGGCTGCGCCTCTTCCCCAGCGGTGCGCCTGCCTGTTTGCAGCGGCTAACACAGCTCGGCGTACCTGCGGGTCTCAGGAAGAGCGTGTTGACCGCGTCCACAGGCAGGTCGCTGTGTCTCCTAGTCTCCCGATCTTCGGGTCTGTGCTTTCTTCCTTACAGTGAGGCCAGCGATGAAAAGAGCAGGCTTTCAGAGCAGGGATGGGTATGTGGGATTACTACTTCATCCACTCATTTTCCAAACGGAACAGCTTAGTTTACTCTCAAATACAGTCGCCACTCGCCGCCTGTGACTATTTAAACTAATTGACATGGAACAAAAATGTGAAATTCTCCTCTCAGCTGTGCCAGCTACATTTCAGATGCTCAGCAGGTAGGTGTGGCCAGTGTCTGCTCTGGGGGACAGCACCGGGGCGCCCACTCTCCAGTCCTTGACCTCTCTGAGCCTCAGGTTTCTCCCCTGAAGGGGGTGTGCATGACACCTTGTTCGTAGGATGTTCTGGGATTAAATGATGCACTGATGGTTCAGCACAACGCCTGGTGTCTGGTAGGTGCCCAGTGAGTGTCGCTGCCTGCTCTCCTGTCACCGTCATTTGTGCTACCTGTAAAAGCTATTTAGTGGCTGGTTGGAGCTCAGTACTACTAACATGCAATCAGTATTCAGTAGAAATACTCTCCAGGTACTTACTACTTGCCTGGCACCAGGCTGAGTACTGAGTGTACAGAAATAAATAGAACATGGTTCTGGGCCCGAAGCTGCCCGGTGTTAGTTTAGTGTGATTCGCACAGCGTGGCGTGCGGGTTGTGCCAGGCTTCCTCCTCTCTCCTTGGACCCAACGCCTGACAGGTGCTTAATAATTACTTGTTAGGTGGATGTGTATGAGGTGACAAATTTGCACAGAAACAGTGGGGTCTGGAGGGGCATGAGCTGTCCGGAGAGACTTCACAGAGTTTGTGATGCCTGCAGGATACAGGATAGCTGGGGGGTTGCCAGATGGTCACAGTGGACGGGGCAGGCCCTTTCGTGTGGCTTGGTCCTGGAAGTGGCAGGCGTGTCTGCGAGTAGGGGTCTGACCTGGTCCTGGTGGCACCGGGGCACCACAGGCAGCCACGTCGGGAAGTGGCAGGGACCAGAGCTGGCGCCAGTACGAGGCCGGGCTGGCGAGCTGAGGCCGTTGGGAGCCTGCAGTCTCTCGGCTCCAGGGGGCGGCAGCAGTAGGCCGAGAGAGTGCCAGTGTCACGAGCTGGGGATTCGCCTCACCCCTCCAGATGGGAGACCAGTTGATGGTTTTTACTGACAAGTGGAAAAAGCTTTGCTGTCTCGCTGCCTCTTCCCAAACACCCCCCGAAGAAGTGCTGGTGTATTGGGAGGTCGGAGGTGAGGGTGCTCTCATTCTTGGAAGCTGCTTGGTTTCTGAGATCATTGCAGAGCTGTGCTGCAGGCGTTTCCAAGGAGCACGCAGTTAAACCCAGCTCTGCTTCCCAGCTCTGCCTTGGCGGATGTCCTTGGATGCATTGCCCACGTTTGGCGCACCACCTGTACAGTGTACTGTGTTCCCATAAACGTCCGTCAGAAACACGGGCTGCCCTGCTGTGATGACTCAAAGCAGTTTGCAGGTTGTGAGAGTGGTCACGCCACGCTCACTTGGAGATCTGTCACTGGGAGCTGTTTGTTGTTATGATGCTTTGGCCCCTAACCAGACTTAGTCATGAGACATTAAAGCCATCATTAAACTCATCTTATTAGTACTATCAAAGGAGAAACTTACTGAGGAGGTTTCAAGGGACATGAAATTCGAGGATCTCAGCCTCCACAAACCTCTAGTGTACTGATGATTTAAGTCTAAAAAAAACCAACTCATTTGGATTAAGACCCTCCCCACCTGTAATCAGTGCCTAAAAGCAGTTTGCATAGGTTCATAAAAGCCATTTAGGCCAATAAGAACAAGCCATTGATTTCATCAATTCTTAGGGAAACGTTTGTTTGCTGATAACAGAAAGTTTCTGAAGAACTTAGGTTCTGACAGACCCAGAAGTCACCTCTTGCTAGGCAAGGACTGGGCTGAACCTTCCCCAGCTGCAGTGTTGAAAGGTTCTAGAAAGGGAGGGAAGCTCGAGTGAACTGAGCAGTTCGGTGCTTGGCAGTTGCTTTTTAAACCTCAGCAGGAGTTAATCTCACTAAATCTTTAAGGAGGCTTCATCCTGCCAGTCTGAGAGATGAGCAGGTGACGAGTCTATGTGATGCCTCCAGGGCCTGGGGATTAATGACGATCTCAGCCCAGGGCTGCGTATCTCAAAGGTCATTCTTCCTGTTACACCCTGTGGACCAAGAAGGGAAAATTGAGGGAAAAGGAAAGAGAAAGAAGGACTTGGCTTTTTGAAGAACCAACTTGTCTTTTCCATTGTGCCTTTTGGCCACCATCTGCGTCCCTCTGAAAAACCGCAGTGTTATGTATTAATAAGTAGTGGACTGTGGAGAGCAGAAGTCAGAATAAGCTGGGAAGGCTGTCACCATAGCTGCAGAAGCAGGACACGGTGTCCACCCTGAGGAGGACGGAGCTGAGAGCCGGGCCTGCAGAGACCCGCCTGGGTGGCCTGGCAGTGTGACTACCCCCCACCCCCCGCCCTGGGCGGGATCCAGACCTATTTCTTTGTTCTGTCAGCACAAGCCTTGAGCCCCTTCTAGGCCAAGGGAACCACGCAGGGTTTCTGCTCTCACAGAGCTTACATTCTAGTTGGAGAGACACACAGAAGAAAGATACTTTCAGACAAAAATAAATGCTCCGAAGAAGTTGATCGGGATGGGGGTTAAACCCGGTGGTCAGGGAAGACCTCCCTGAGAAGTGACCTTTGACTCTGGGGCAGAGCACGTCAGGTGTGGGAATAGCAGTGACAGAGGCGAAGGCAGGAGTGAGCTTTGTGTGTCTGGGGACACAGGTGAGGCTGGCCGGCCAGGAAGAGGGGTGGGTAGACATGCAGGGGCTGGGGGCCCTGGGAGCCACAGTGTCGCCACAGGGTGAGGTGACTCTGGCTGTCCTGCAGAGCAGGCTGCCCAGGCCAGAGCTCAGGGGCCTCTGCAGAAGCCCAGGCAGGAGGGAGCAGCCGGGACCCCGAGAAGCGGCCGGCAGGTGACGCCTGCATCTTCAGGGGAGCTCTAGGTTGGGATCTGGGTAAAACTCAGGTAGTGGTTCTCAAACCACTTTATTTTCTTAAAAATTATTGAGGGACCCCAGAGAACACTTTTATATGGATTGTATCTGTCAATGCTTACCAAATTGTAAATTAAAACCAAAATTTAAATGTTTATTAACTCATTTTAAAATAATGATAATATACCCACTGTACATTAACAAAAATAATCTTACGAAAAGTATCTATATTCTTTTAAAGCAAAACAAATCCAGTGAGAAGAATGTCATTGTTTTTCATTTTGCAAAGACTCAAAGGTCCAGTTTTATAGAAGTCTGCTGAATTCTCACATCCGATGCTGCCTTCAGTCTGTTGTGATATCACATGTCTTGGAGCCTCTGGGGAGAATGACTATGAGCAAGGCATCCAGTAACGCCTTAAGGTCATGAAATGATTTGGACCTTGAGACCTCCTTCAAGGGTCTTGGGGACCCTGGGACCCCCAGTCTAGGCTTCAAGAACCACTGCGGTAAAGAGAGATGTCAGGTGGCCAGAAGATGACCAGGGGTTGGGTGCGGGCAATTCCCGAGGATCAGGAAGGTGTTTCCTTAGCAGGACCTGTTGCTGCTTGAAGCCCCCCACCCCTTCACAGTCTGTGGTCCCCTGCCCTGAGCACCAGGTGGGGAGGAAGCATGGAGTGAGTGGACCAGAGGCCTGGGGGCTCAGGGCAGGGACCGCCTTCCTTCTGCCACAGGGCCCGCCAGGAAATCTGGTGATGAGTCTCTTCTTCCATCCTCATGTTTAAAAGGAAAGCAACCCAGTCTTATGGAGACCCATCATTTGGTCACCACTGCGGACCAGTCTCACCTGAGCCTGTTCAGGTGTAAACATGGATCCTAGTCCCCTTCTGCCAGCAGAGCCGACAGCAGGGCCTATTGGCTGGTGTCAGTGCTTGGCATCATCTTGTTTTTATCAGAAAGTTGCTTTTATTTCCACGTAAGTGTAATTTTACTCAGTTACGGCAAACTTTCTTTGTGGTTCCTCCCGCCTCCCCAGATGAGTAAAACGTGGTGCTTTATCATGAAGTTCATGGAAAGATGGGATTTACTTGATGGGAAATCACTGTGCAGCGAGCGTGAGCAAGAGACTCATCTGGTTACACTAGCTTTGCCCTGTTTCCACAGATTTCTCCATGTTTCTTTCTGTACATTTTTTCCCCCAGTTTAGTGTGGTTATTTTACAGAGGAAAATCCAATGAGCAACGATTCCTACTGCTCTTATACCTATTTATATCACTTTTCAGTTTAGCTGTGTGGTTTTTTTTTTTGTAAGAAAAAATACTTGGAAAAGTTCATATAAATGTGTTTTTACTGATTTTAAACCATTTTGTGGCGTTTATATTTTAATCCTTGAAATTTGAATGAACCATTTACGTTTAAAAATAAGTGACCAATTTGATGGTGATAAGGATGTTAATTTGTGTTTATGGCGAAGAGAAATCAATGTGTAAAATAATTTCTCAAGAACGTGGAACGGCTTCTAATGAGCGTTTTCTGCTTGCTCCGTTCTCAGGCTTTCTTCCTGGTCTACGCTCTGGGGTGTCTGAGTGTTTACTATGAGAAGGTAAGAGGTTTGATTCAGACACAATCCACGTAACATTTTCCTGATACTAAAAGCGGGTTGTCGTCATTTCCATGTTCCTTTAATACAAATGTGTCTGTTTTCACTGAGTAGAATTGGAATTGAATTTTTTTCTCTAATTTTAGGCCTTGAGCCCTCAGCTGGGACTGTGTAGGCAAAAACCAGCTTTGACTGTTTTAGAGTGAATTTCATTCCCAGAGACTGGGAGGAGAGCAGTATCTTCTAGAATGATCAGGAAATCTGCGTCAGAACAGTACTAAGAACTAGCAGAAATGAGCCCAGCGATGTTCAGCGCCTCCTTCAGTTAAGGCTGTGAGTCAGGTACTCGACTCGCAACATGCTGATCCTTTCCTCTGCGTGGAGAGGCTTTTGTAGATGAGGTAGTCACGGCTCAGAAACGAGTAACTCACCCACGGCCACCCAGCTGGTCTGGTTGTAATTAGTATGTGAACGCATGTCAGGGCAGCTCCGAAGCCCAGGAGCCTGTGCTGTAGTCTGCTGCTCGTAGAAGAACGTTATTGCCTCACAAAACAGAAACAGACTCACAGACGTAGAAAACAAACTTATGGCTACCAGGAGGGCAGGGGGTGGGGAGGGGTAAATTGGGAGTTTGAGATTTGCAGATACTAACTAATATATATAAAATAGACAAACAACAAGTTCATACTGTATAGCACAGGGAACTGTGTTCAACATCTTGTAGTAACCTATGGTGAAAAAGAATATGAAAACATTCGTCTATGACTGAAATGTTATGCTATACACCAGAAATTGACACAACATTGTAAACTGACTATACTTCAATTAAAAAAATACACACACACACACACACACACACACACACAAGAAAAAAAAGAATGTTAGTGCCACGAGGAGTTAATACCATTGCTTGACTTCTGATAGAGGAATTGGGAGGCGGAAGGAGAGACGTCACCGTACACTTGTGGATGTTGTAAGTTTTGGAGCATGTAAATGTAAGGCCTATTCAAAATTACTCTAATGAAGTTAAGATTAGGAAGAGAAAGGTAAGCAGGGCATCAGAACAGAGCAAGTGTATTTTATCCTGTTCTTGGGAGCACATAAATTTTGTCATTCACCAAATTCTGACTATATGAGTCTTTTCCACGAGTATTCCAGCGGCATGGAAACGGATGTCTGGCTGATGGGTGACTCCTTTTTCCGGGCGGTGTTCATTCTCCACCCACCCTGCCTCCTCCCCGGGCCTCAGCTGACATTTGTCAGAACATTCCAGCTGCTGCATAGAACCCCTCAGCCCCTGAAACCGGGGGCTTGTCCAGACTGGAGGCTCAGCCTTCTCTCCAAGACTGCTGCTTGTGTTGGAGGGTACGGACTTGAAGACCATACACATAAGGGGTTTCCACCTGCAAAAAACGGCTGCAGAAAAATGAAAAGAGAAGGAAAAACAAAACAGAAAGAAACCCAACTCTAGCTCACATTTATGGTATTAAAATCTCAGGCTGAGGCAAGCAGAGCAAATCTCACTGAGTGACTGAACCGTAAACCAGCTGAAGAAATGATCATTTTAGTCAGCACCGAAATGAAGCGGAAAACCTCCCAGACTGACCTGGTTCTCCTGTTGTGTTTTTGTGTTCACACATCAGAACGTCCTTTGACCTGAACTGTTCTCAGTCTCTTCAGGTCCAACCTTATAAACAACATTGGCTTCTATGCAATTGGATTATTAATTTGTGCCATGATATAAATTCTCTGGCTTCAAAGACTCAGTGGAGCATCTTTTCTTTTTTTTCCCAAAGCTTTTACAGAACTATTCTTGGCTTTTCTGAATGTGGCCAGACGAACCACAGCTACCCACTGGCGTCTGTGCATGTAGGGACATGTGGACTCCAGCCCCCCACCCCCGTTCCTCTGCCCAGATTGTCCTTCCAGCCACCACTCCTGTGCACCCACCGTCATTTGGCTGCTTCCCATCTCCAGGGGGTCCTTTCCCGAGTCCTCTCAGGTGGTGCTGTGCAGCAGAAATGTGACAGGAGTCTCAGACAGGAGCCAGCTGCATATTTTTTAATTTTCTGGTAGCCACATTAAAAACGTTTAAAAAAATCAGCTGAAATTGATTTATATTATTTACATAGTTTATTTAACCCAACATACTCAACATCACTGAGATAGCTTACGTTCCTTTTTTCATACCAAGTCTTTGAAATTCAGTGTGGTTTATGCTGACAGCACATCTCAGTTTAGGTGCGTGGCTGGCGGCTGCCACCCTGGGCAGTGCGGGTCTGGGTCTCACGGTTAAACCCTTTGTCGTGGCCGCCGTGTTTGTTGTACTTCAGCTCACACTTGGTACAGGGCTTGATTCGGTGGCTGGGTGATGGATGGATACAGACATGATGATGCCTGTTTTCCCCCCAACAACTGTAGGAGCCTTTAACGATTGTGAAACTCTGGAAAGCCTTCACCGCAATTCAGCCCACGTTCAGGACTACGTACATGGCCTACCATTACTTCCGAAGCAAGGGCTGGGTGCCCAAAGTGGGACTTAAGTACGGAACAGATTTACGTAAGTCATTCTCGGCTCGGCAGGCGTGAGAGCCAGGGTTTGTGTGGGATCCTGGGGTGAAAGTCTGATCCGGTGCACGTGCTGTTGCTGTTTTTTTCCACTAAGGTGAGGTCCTCCTTCTGGCTTAGATGAGGTTTGGATTGGGATGGAGGGTGTGTCTGGAGTGAGCCAGGGAGAAGGCAGTCTGAGGATAAAGCCTGGGAGGAGGGCCCGAGGCCCCCAGGCAGGCTGGTCTTCTCTTCCGCTCTGTGATCTTAGGAAGAGCCTGGCGCCCCTGCCCCGCCCCTCGTTAGTGTGTGATCATGTGATGTAGGGCAGTCCCTTGTCCTCTGGGGTAATCTCATCTGGCTAATTGTGTGCAGTTACCCCGTGTAACTGTGGTAATGGTCACAGCCGTCGTTTGCTGAGCCCTAACTCTGCCAGGCGTCGTGCTAAATGTCCGGCGTTCGTCATCTCACTTAGTCCTACGGCACTTCTGTGAGATCGGTGCTCTTTGATCCTCATGTTTCTGATAGACTTGTTTTGAGAGAAAGGGTCATTTGCCCCTAATAGTTTCCAGGGCCAGTAACTCTTAGAGCTGGGCTTTGAGTCCTGGAGCCCAGGCTCTTAGAAGTGTCTACACAGTCCTGCCTCTGGGATCTTTACTTAAAGCAAGGAGTCTGGACCTGGCGAGCACTTCGTTCAACAGACAATTGTGAGGGTCTCGTGGGATCCAGGTCTTCTCAGCTGCCAAAGACGCAAAAGTGAACAAGACAAACAGGCTGCCCTGATGGAGCTGCTCCCATGCTGGAGCAGGAGGCAACAAGCAAACACAAATACGTTCTGCAGGTTTGGGGTCTGAGAAAAATAGGGCGGAGTGAAGGGGCAGAGACAGAAAAGGAAGTTAGGGTGGCTAGGAAAGGACACCTGTGCCCCAAACAACAACAGAAATGTGGTTACTGTGAGGGAACAGATCACTTGACAATCTGGGGAAGAACACGGGAGGTACAAAGGAATAGCCAGTGCAAAGGCCCTGAGGCAGGAACAAGCCCTGCGATATCAGGAGTAGCACGAAGCCAGTGCCTCCGGAACTTAAGAGATCCCTGGGGAGAGTGGCGTGAGGTGATGTCTGAGAGTCAGGCTGGGGAAGATCTCGTCCACCTGGCGAAGACTTGGGACGTTACACTGGTTATTGGAAAGCAGTGATTTAGATTTAATGACTTACATTAGTAGGACCTTTGTCTTTTCTTACTAATAGACAGTGGGGGGCAAAGATGGAATCAGAGAGATGAGCTAGGGAAGCTGAGCCCTGCAGACAGAGTGCATGCGAGATTGGCGGGGAAGAGAGGAGTTCAGGATAACGCCTAGGTATTTGGGATGCAGGTAAGTTCAATGGAGATACTGTGATGGCATGACTTTGGAGCACAGGAGAGCCTGGAGGGGTCGTTGTGTGCAGGGCGCCTTAGGCCGCCGGCCTGGGTGAGTGAGCCTCGGTCCTTGGCACCTTTCAGCACCAGGGCCGCTCCTCCGCTAAGTCCCTGACACTCTTTCCACATCCTCCCAGCAACAGTGCTCCCTGGGTGCTCTTCAGAATTGTTTGTGAGGTTCAAACAAAAGTTTCAAAGCACTTGAGAGGCCTTCTAAGAAGTTACAGCCCTCGAGGTCTTGAAGTCACCCCTGGTCCCATATGTTTTTGATTTCCAGAGAAAGCCAGTTCTGTCTTTTAAATCTGTAAATGCTGTAAAATTGAGTGTGCTTAACCTAGAATCATAGGATGGTCTTCCGGAGCCCCCAGGACTCCCTGAAATTTTGTTCAGAACATTGTGTTTGTAGATTGGTGCGTTTTTCTGGGTCAGGAGTTGGTAGATTTCATTAAATTCTTAATGAGGTCAGCAGTCATGAAGATTAAGATGTGCCCATCCCTCTAAGGCAAGGGATTCCTTTTGTTCCTTCCATGCCTGGATTTCAGGTACAGTACCCTAACACAGGGTCGCCCACGAACGATCAGAATCAGCTGGAGGCTGGTTTGCAGGTTTCCAGGTCGCTGCGTTGGCCGCGGGTCACGCTGAGATAAGTGATGTGCCTGCTTCATTTCCTTCGCTGGCTCCCCGCCCCGTTCTCCTCCTCGTGCTCTTGTAAGAAGAGCGGCTCGGTGCGACGCCCGGCAGGCCTTCGCCAGTGTGCGCCTTATGTGGGTGAAACTTGAGCGGAATTTTCCAGTCGACACGGCTGCAGTGACGCACTGAGAGGTAATGGGGTAACGGAGCTCCTGAGGGTCACTGCCGGCTCTCTCTCTCATGAAGGCTGTGTGGCCTCAGGGAGGTCACCTCATCTCTGAGCATCCATTCACTCATCGTGTAACTTGGATAACAGCATCTTAATAAAAACATCTTCTTTATAAAAAATAAGAAGTTGCAGGGAAGGGACTGTTGTCGGGTGCCTTGAGCGTACCTGACCTCACGTGTTTTCAGTTCTCACGCCATATTTGTGGATGGTGAGTAGCGAGAACTTCCCTAATTTAAAAATAAACTGCCTTATAAGGGTGGATGAAAGGATGGACAGATGGACAGACTCTTTAAAAAGAAAGAAATCTGTCAGCTGCTGCTTCCCACCTGCCCAGACCCTCTGCCCCAGGAGGGGCAGGTCAGGCACTTCCAGCCTCTCGCACGCACGTCTGGTGTGAGACCAGGTCTCCCGCCCAGCAGCAGCGTGAGGCTGTCCTCGCGTTTCCGGCTTTGGCAGGAGTTCAGGAGCCCTGCTCGCCTGGGGTGAGGGGAGCGGCTTCCTGAACTTGACCTCGTCTCCAGGCACAGGGAGTGGTGCCTGCTGGTTTCTAACAGCGTCGTTTTAGCTATGAAGGCGGTGACGTAATCACACACACCCTCGCACTGCCACCACAGGTTATTCTCCCTTAACAGGGGTTCCTGCCCCGAGAAGTAATGGCTCACGACGAAGGGCCGTTAGGAAACTCACATCTTACCAGGAGCGTCTTCCCCTGACTAAGTCTTGGAAGTCAGGTTTCATTCCAGAGCAGTACTTGAAACAGGTGATAAGGATCTCGAATCAGGGGCACCGTCAGGGCCAGTGGACCTTGACTGCCCACTGGTGAAACCCAGGCCAGAGACCACGTGGGAGCCTTTCCTCCTCACCCCCCAAAGCTCCCAATGCCGCTGGCTCCTAGGATGACGGGCACCTTGCCTCAGTGCTTTTCCCCTCCCGTCTGATGTAACCTTCGTGCTCCCGTGAGGCGTGCAGGACTCACCTCCTACAGCTGAGGAGATAGAGGTTTAAAGGGTCAGGGAAGTTGCCCCAGTCAAGGTTCATTTAGCGCATTTATCACTTGCAGCTTCCCTGGGCTGCCAGGAGGAAGAGCACACACTAGGGGACATAAAGCGGCAGAAGCTGCTTCTGTCACAGGTCAGAGGCCAGAAGTCTGGGAGCAAGGTGCCAGCAAGGCGGCCCCTCTGCCCCCAGGTCCTCACCTCCCCCAGCTTCTCGCGGTGCCGGGCCCTCCCGGCTGTGGCTGCGTTGCTCCAGTTCCTGTGCAGATCTTTTTTCCAAAGAAGGTCACGTTCACAGGTTCCAGGGACTAGGACGCGGACGTGTGTCTGGAGGGCCTCCATTCAACCACTGCAGTCTGTTTGGCCTCTTTTAATCTAAGATTCCCTCCTTTTCTGTGACATGGACCTTTTTTGAAGAGCCCTGTAGGATGCCCTGCAGTCTAGGAACGTCTGGCTGCTGCTTCGTGGCTAGGCTCGGGCTCAGCGTGTTTCGTTGCACAGAGGTGATGTGCGTACCTCCAGGGCCACACCTGGAGACACATGGCGCCAGGCGGTCCAGGTACTGGTGATGCCGTTGGACCCTTTGGCTCGGGCGGCCATTGTTGAGTGTCTGTTGTAAAACTGCATCTTCCCTTTCGTAGCTCACAGGTAGTTTACAGGGTGAGACTGAATACTGGGTTCCCCAGTAATTACAGTGGTTCCCCAAACTGACTGCTGCACTGGTCACCATTCTCCGTCGTTGCTTCCACACGCCACGTCCGCCTTTCATGTAAGAAAGTGCTTTTCCTCTCCTCCGTGTTCTTGCAGGCTTTATTTTTCAATGCCCACTGTTTCTTGACTTCTGAAGCTTTCATCTTTCTCCCGGTGAGGCATTTTTGTAAAATTGTTTTGTTTTTCCCTCTGGATACACTGCCATCCTCATAGTCACTATTACTGTAGGTAACTGAGCACCTTCACCTGCGTGATTACCCCGTTTTCCATAAAGAGAGTGCAGCACAGGTGTCATCGTGTGGTCTTGGCACTGCCGAGCCCGGAACGGGGGTCTCTCTGATGCCTGCGTTCATGCTTTCAGCGCCTGAGCCACCAGCATCACGGTTGGTCCTCTGATGGCCCGAATGGGGGGCGGAGCTGCTTTCCAGCTGTCTTGTTCCAGATGCACCTTAAGTGTAACTGATCACAGATGACGTGAGGGCTGGAAAAGATCTTCACTTCCCCTCATGTCTTCATTTGATAATCTTGGACACTGAGGCTCAGAGAAGTTAGTCACTTGGGTGAAGTCACACAGCTGAGAGTGGCAGAGATCGGGCTGAAGCAGCACCTCTGAGCACAGTCTCATTCCAGTGCCTGGTTTCCCTCTGCTGCACCACAGCCCCAGAGTTGAGAATTGTGTCTTTGTTTACTTAAATTTGTGCCTTTACACAGTGAGTTTGAGCTGACTTGCCTAATACTTTAAATGCAATTTAAGTAGGAAATAGATTAACAAAAAGGAAACGTGACTGTGGAAAATAGAGGTGAAAGGTTATTGTATGGTCCATGGGATCCGACACTCTTACTGACCTCGTGGTGCCTGAGCCAGAGGGAAACCGGATTAACTACCAACTGACGTGCCCAGAAGGAGAATTCTATCAGTTCCTCAAAGGAAACAAAGCTTTTCTGCCTTGATTTTTGCACAGGGGACAGCCAAGAGCTTACGGATGTAAGTGTGTGTTAGTTAAGGTAATTCCTGTAACTGCAGTTACACATAAACCCCAGATTTCAGGGACTTCACCCTCGAAGTTAATTTCTGTTCATGTGAAATCCAAAGCCGGTCTGTGCGTGACGGGCGGACCAGCTCCCATCCCAGAGGTGCTGCGGGAGCCTGGCTGCTTCCTCGTGACCCCACGGTCTTCACGTGGCTCATTCATCTCTAGCACCAGCACCCTGCTCAGCACCGGCCAGAGGAGTTCAGACACTGAATTCCATCGACTGGAAAGATTTGAAACGAGTAACTAGATGTTGGTCCACGTTATACCAACTTCCCGAGCCTGACACGATGTCACCCTCTCCAGAGAGTGAGGCAGAAGCCGCCTGTACTTGAATTTGGAGTTCATCTGTCTGGTGGAGGGTGGGACAAGGGTGTTAGGGTCCTGACAAAATATTTGTTATGCTAACTGCTTTTTGTTCCAGGGGCAAAAACAATTTGGGTTTTAAAAATAGACCACAGGGCGTATTGCACATTACCTGCATACAGAGCTCTGGGGGCTATGTCCCTAAGAATTTGATTTTGAGTGGTTACACATTTTCTTTCTTTTTCTTTGCAGTGTTGTATCGAAAAGGCCCTCCGTTTTACCATGCCAGGTTTGGAGTGATTTTTTAAATAAATTAATGACTTAAAGGGACAGGAGGAAATTTCTGCGCTTCAGTTTAATTTTCGGTGGCACACAAACAAGTAGAGTCAAGTTCCTCCTGGCCTGACAGGAGTAGATGCTGTGTGTCTGTGCCTTACGCGGTAGTATCACTGCACTGGCTACACAATGAGAGGTAGGCTAAGGTAATGTACGTTTTAGTATTAAACATCGAGTTAATCTGTACAGTTATAACTATACACTAATTGTTCACCTTAATATCAGTGAGGATTAGCGTCTAAACAGCTGAGTGAATTCGCAGCTTTCATGTTGGGAGAAATATTTTTGTTCCTTTTCTGTCAGTGTTGAAATCAGACTGAAAGTTTGTTGACTTGAGTTTTTCGTGAATATCTTTCTCAGTAGTAGCCCAGGGGTATTTAGGATCCAGCCACGTAAGTTTTATTTCCTGTACTTTCGTTCTTAGTAGGGCAAACAGTGTTCTTTTTAAACAGGTCGACTTGGTGCCTTTTGTTTTTAAAATGCTCTTGGCGTGTTTTCCAGTTACTCCGTCATCGTCGAGCTAGTCGACCACCGTTTTGAGGGCTGTCCTCGCAGGCCTTTCAGTTGGAAGTCACTGGCCGCTTTGAGCAGAGTTTCTGTTAACGTCTCCAAGGTAACACAGCATCAGCTTAGCCATTCGCTTAAATGTTTGGGTTTTCGTCTTAAATATGATAGAAGCATGAAAGTCGTCTGTAGGAACCTCAGAGCGTTCCTGCCAAGGAGGCTCTGGAGGATGGTCCCCCGCCACGTCCCCTGCCACCGCCAGCAGGGGCCTGAGCTTCGCGGTCTCCCGTGGTGACGGGTGTAGGTGGGCACTGCCTCCTCCCGCGGGCAGCCCAGCCAGCACATGCTCAGAATCACATACTCACGGAGGAGTCAGAACCTTGACGCGTTTCCCTGTTACGCCAGGAGTCTCTGGGTTCTCTGCCCCGCTGCTGCCGGAGGCCTGGTGGGCAGGGAAGCAGAAGGGCCAGCAGGCCCAGGTGACACCTGCCTGGGAACGGGCGAAGTCGCGGAGGCCTCCCCCGTAAAAGGAGCTCTGTCCTGGAGAAGTGGGGTCTGCACTGGCCCCAGTGCGTGCCGTGTCGTTAGCATGTTTACTGTCCTAGGTGCGGGTTTATCATCAGCTTTTTGCTCTGTTTGCATCCTCTTGCCACGTCAACGAAGACTAAACGGCAGGTCTTTAGTCTAGATCCGGGGCCCAGGTGTGTTCCCAGGAGGAACCTTTGTGAGTTTGGGGAGCACACAGCCAGGGGGAGTGGAGATGCCCCGTGTTTCCCGCAGTCACAGCCGGATTTGTGTTTCTCTTCTGTGGGATACAGAGGTGGTTTTTCATGTCTCCATAGGAGCTCATGCTGTGCTATTTGATTAAACCCTCCACCATGACTGAGAAAGAAATGGAGTCACCAGAATGTATGAAACAAATTAAAGTGCAGGTAGGTGAACTCAGAGACAAACCCGTGTCCTCTCAAAGGTGCTGTCCATCGTGCTGCGCCCTCTGGGACGTGCAGTCCCTGGGCAGGGTAGGAGGACCGCCTCGCCTTGGCCACAGAGAGCCGCTCAGGCCCTTTCCCCGGTCAGCCCAGCCTCGCTCCCCCGAACCCCTGCTGCCCTTTGTCCTGTGATGTCACCTGCTTTCTGTCCCCACCACTCAGCTGCAAGTGCTCGTAGCCTGGGGCCAGCCCCAGGCCTCTCCTGGGTCTCTGGGCTTTCTGCCTGCTTGAACTCCTCGTCTGGTTTCTGGGGTTCTCTGTTGAGATGAGGCCCCCACCCTGTCCTCCTGGCAGGGTTTTCCTGCGGGGCTGCCGAGTCCATGGTCCAGTCCCCCAGTGTTTGTTCCTGTTTCTGTCCTTCCTCCTTATTTGCACCCCCTCCCCACTGCAGAGCTGCCGGTCAGTCTCCAGACCCATTCCCCCGTTTGTCCTGCTCGTGGCCACTGGGTTAGCTTTTCGTAAACTGCCAGTTCAGGTCCGCATCTCCCTCCCCAGGCTGACCCAGACACACCCGCGCCGTCATGGACCTGGCCCTGTGTTAAACACTGGGGTTCGCACTGGCGCCCCGCTCCTGAAACTTGCAGGAGGAAACCACAGTTGGGGCACGGGTGGCCCGGAACCCTCAGGAGAGGACAGTGGGTGCCGTTCCCGCGCTCTCCGGATGGTTATTTACTAGGAAGGGAGCAGGCATCGCGCGTGTACAGACAGCCCGCCCCTGCGAACACACGCTCAGCACGTCTGTTCATTTCTGGTTTTGAAACTCGGCCACCTTTGTGTTCTAATTGATCACAGGAGGTGATTCTAAGCCGCTGGGTTTCTTCACGGGAGAGGAGCGACCAAGACGAACTCTGACAGCTGCACCTCAGGTGTCCGATTTCCCCACCAAATGCTTAGTCTCCTCCGATAGGCCCAGTGCAGGGCGAGGTAAAGCGTCCTTTGTAATCGCCGTTGATTTAGAAGTTTTAAAGGGCCTGGCGCTCCCAGCACTGGAAAATGTTCGTGCTTTAAAAGGTAAAATTACACGGGAGTCGGGGGAGGAGCCCTGTGCCGGGACTCCTGGTCCTGCCCTCGCATCGGTCCCTGACGCGCTGGCCCTGAGCTTCTCGCCGCTGGGCCTCGTCCCCTCCGTGGGGGTGCTGGACCAGGTGCGTCCCAGGAGGGCTCTCCCAGCACCAGGGAGCTCCTGTTCCTCTCTGACTTGACCTGAGCGTGATCGTCGTTCACCTTTACTCCGCCCTCTGCAGTTTCCAGCGCGCCTCTGTGCACAGGTCTCTCCTGTTCCCCACGTCCAGCCTGTCCTGGAAGAGGGCCAGCCAGGTCTGGACATTGCAGGGCCCTGTGTTCCATTATTTTCAACAGAAGAAGTGATAATGTGTCTCAGATTGTCCAGGGACTTCAACCAGCTACTCAGACACGGAAAAATCCGTTTACTGTCTACCAAGGATTTCTGTATCACAGAAACATATAAAAACCACAATTACCTAATTATTTAATTCTCAGTGAACTCATTGGTGGGCACGTTGTGTGGAGAGCACACAGTATTTATTGTTCAGTATTAGATAAGAATTGTATCTCGCTTCACTGAACTTGTTACAAACCATGTGGTGAAATGATGTATGAAGATGCGTTGTGAATGCAGTTAGCACTTGGTAAAGCACAATAAACAGCCCTTCTTAAATCAGAGTTGTCTGTCTGAGGGACGAGGGGAGGGAGCCGGGGAAGGAGACAGGGTCTGAGATCCATCCAGCGTCCAGATTCAGGTCACTGGCAGGCAGGCTTTTCCTCGGCACAGGTACTCCAGAAGCGGATGGCTGAAAACCATCTGTGGAAGCTGTGAGATGAAAAAGACCAAAATGGACCTCTGTTTGCATTTCCTTGACCCTGGGCTTAGCGCTCCTGACAACCTGAGATGCTGCCTTTGGTCGTGAGTTTAACTCACTGCTGCTGTTCTCGCCGTGATCCTTGCTGTCAAATCATCAGGCTTGTGCAACCTGCATCTTAAAGATGTGGCGGCCGTTTGACGGGGCTCCTCCCCCTCCCCTACTTGTGACCAGAGGTGACCATCAGTTTGAAAGAGCTTCTTGGTGGTGAGCTCTTTGCTCTTCATCAGTGATGGGAGTGGTTGGTCAGCATTGTTACCGTCTGTCTTGCTTCCTCCGGGCTCCTTAGACAAAGTAAAGGACACGGCTTTGAATCACCACTGTCCAGAACCTTGAATGTCAGCCAGAAATCTCAAGAGCCGTTTCTTCCCTATTTTGGTCATCATTTGTGATGACACTTCTTCCCAAGCCTCATCCATGCACCGAGTGCCTTTGTGAGGAAAGCTCCTCTATGGATGCTTCCCCGAAGTGCTGTCACCGCGTCAGCTCTCCAGTTACCTAATTGTCAGCCAGCATGCCTTGAAGGTTATGGTGACTCCTTGGAATAAAGGCTACACTGAAGATGTAGAAAAGTGGAAAGACCCTGGTGATTACTGGTAACCGAAAGCTCTAGAAGGTTGCCTGGAAGCATCATGTTGGGTCAGAGAGGCCCGTGTGAAGGGTCCTCCTCCGTCATGTGTGCAGTCTGAGCACCACACAAGGCTGGGCGCAGGGGTGATACACCAGCTGAGGTCTTGGTTTCCGTCACCTTGGTTTCCAGCTAAAAGCAGCATTAGCTTATCTTGGAAGCTCTATGACCTAACACTTCTTTCATACCTTTTGAAATAAATGTATAAGTTGGCATTTGTTTTCAAAAAAGGAAAAAAGCTCAGTTCACCAAGATGGGAAATCTGCTCTGCGACAGAATCCCCTTCAGGAGTTTCTGTGGTTCGGTTGGGGAGCTGCTGCCACCTCGCCCATGCCCTTCAAAGCACCAGGCCCACGTGGTTCTTAGACCTAGAGAACCTTCCAGGCTTGCTTTAAAACTGAAACCCACCTCCACATCCTCTCTCCTCCTCTCCCTCTGTAGCAGCATGTGCTCGGTGGCATCTCGCTGATGGGCTGCGCATCCTCCTTACAGGAGTCTCGCGAGCTTGAAGACAGTGGCTCGCCCTGCTCAAGAAGGCCGAGAAGCTTTGTGGAAGCAACACTTTTCACTAGTTTTATTCTGTCACCCGTTGTGCAAAAAGCAATACGTGGGGAGAGGGGGAGCGCAGGCTCGGCCAGGGTGGTGTCATCTGTTTGATCACCTTTCTCACTGTCATTCCCACCGTTTTTTCCCCTGACAGGGAACTTCTTTGCCATTTGAAACTCGCCTACTTTCTCCAGGGACTTCTCCACTTACTTAGGGGACATTTCCATCTAGTAAAGTGGGGAAATGAGGTGATAACACTACACAAAGGGAAATATGCGGCCAGTGTCACCTCCAGGGTGCAGAGCAGCCCTGACAGTAGGGAGTGGGGGCCTTTAAAGCTTTGTTTGAAAACCAGGTCGTGTGGCACTAAGAAAGTAGCATAAAAGTGGCATTTTTGATACTAACAGTTCTCATTTTAATTGTTTTGTGACACGTCGCTTACCTTCTGTTGATATTTGGATGTTGATGAAAGCAGCCTTCTCCTGGATCTTCTCTGGCAAATTGCTGACCCCCGTGCCGTGCGTCCTGCGTACCCCTGGTCGCTTTCAGAGTGCTGAGGTTACGTGCACAGGCTTGGCACTCAGCCCTGGTCTGAACCCTGACTTTGCCACTGTGTGACTTTGGGCAGGTGAGTTTCCCTTCTCGTCTGTAAAATGGGCATAATGTCGGTACCCACCCCACAGGGTGGCTTGGGGACAAAAAGGGAGGAGTGAGAAGTGTTTACCCTGGGTGGAGTCTTCGTGATACTCATTAAATGCAGCTGTAATGACTAGTCGTCGGGTAAAGAACTGGACCAGAGCAGCAGAGTCCTCAGATGGAGCGTGAAGAGAATGGGGCACACGGGAGTGTTCCCCAAACTCAGCGCTCTTTCACCTTTACCCGCTGAGGTCTTTATGATTCCCTGTACTCCACGGAATAGCAGACAGGGCTCTGTTTAAAGTGGTATCACTTTCTAGGTGGCAAGTTGGTGTTTCTCAGAGCAGCCCTGAAACTTACAAATGCACGTGTCGGTCTGCGTGCATTTTTTCCCACTGAGGTGGCCAGTGCAGAGGAACTGACCTGATGTCTCTCTGAAAACAAGCTTTAAGGGTCTGTAGCAAGTTCTCTGAATATCTTTATTGCTGACTGACTGTCGGCTCCTTGAAAGTGGGTTTGGTTTTGGGGAATTAGACATCATTCACTTCCCACCCTGGGGAATAAGATTCGGTGGAAAGTTTTGACATTTGGTCAAAAATAAAGAGTTCTGGAAGCAGTTCCCAAAGAGGAGTTCTGAACCGTTTTGCCCATTGGCTGTGTGGAGTCTGGTGATGATTTGGGTGTAAAAGTTCTAATGTGCCTCATGGTTCCTCATCCCAGTCGTCCCCTTCCTCCCCCAAAGGCATTGGATAAAGAAGGCAGCCTTTCATGGTGTCCTTCCTGAATTCTGCACTGACCGTGAGCAGAGCAGGTGCTTTGCTGTGGTGGCCCAGACACCGCAGCTGCTCACGCCAGGTCAGATGGAAGGAGGGACTGTCCTCCTGCGACAGAGGAGCTGCCGTCCTGTTTATGCGCGTCACCCCGGAAAGGCTGATTCAGGAGGGGAGCCCGGCTCCCAACTCAGATTCTAAGACCTTTTTTCCTTTTATTTTCACTGTTACTGATTGTCAGAAGGTTTCCATGTGCTTTTTACAGAAAAACAGTGCAGTGAAGGCACTCATTACTTCATAGATTGTAAGGGTCTCGCTCACCTTCCTACCGATGCCCATGTCCTGGACCCACACTGAATTTGTTCAGCACTGATTAATTTGTAGGAAGAATTTTCACTGCTCTGTGAATAAAAAGTGCTACCACTTTACACTGTAACATGGACCCCAAACCACAAGGGAAAGAATTTAGTTGTCATGCATACAATTTTGAAAACCCAGGGCAATTTTTATTAATCTCACTAATTCTTAAACTGCAGTGAGCTGAAATATGCTTAAAGGAAATCCAAAACACTTTTTAAATTAACCACAGCTTGACGCACCCAGTAGCTGTTACAGGAGGTCACCCCTGATGTCCTGCCCGGTGTGCTGTGGTGCTCGGTGCTCAGCAGAGCCACTCCCTGGGGGCGGGCTTGTCTCGGGATCGGGGTGGTCGGTCACGTAGAAGCCCCGCTCTTCGATCACCCGGTGCAGCGTGATGTACTTGGAAGCCTTCCTTGTCCTGGGGACCACAAACATCTCCGTGAACTGGTCCTTGTCCAGCGGCTCCTGGCCTTCCGCGGCCAGCACACAGTTGATGAACGTGAGGGCGTAGCTGTAGCAGTTGTGCTGGTCCTCTTCGTACCTTGCAGGACAGGGCGGGGGAGGACAGGCTCAGCCCCAGAGCTGCCCATGGCCTTCTGTGGTTGGAGTCGGGCGCACTCCACCAGCAGGGCCCTGCACGTACTGGCACCTTTGATGGCAGAGTGTCCGCAGTGCAGCTCTGAGGGACACCTGGCATCTTGGGCTGTTGCTACTTGCAACTTAAGTACAGATGGGCCTCACCCAGACCTTCACAGTGGTGACCTAGGCTACGTAAGTCCCCATTTGGGCAGGGGGAGCTTTATTTCACTGAAATTCTAGATTCTAAAAGTGGAATTCCATGTCTGAGTTTCATGATATCCCACGGTGTCTATATTTATTTCAAAGGAAGCATCAAAACAGGTCTGCAGGTACGCTCTTCATCATCTACAGCGATGAGCGAGCAAGGAATTGAGAGACTGATTTCAGAATTTCTAAAACTTAAAAGGGAAGCTATAGGTAGGTTGACATTTTGAACATCACTTAAAATTTTTTTGTTTTATGAAAATGGAATACTATGTGTCCTGCTGTACATTATTATTAAATGGTAATTATATAAGTAAAATAAGTAAGAGAGGTGCGTTCTGGTCCTTCCAGCTTTTAGAATGCTATGATTCTGTTGTGTAAATGTGAGCTGGCTCACCTCTGCGGAAAACCCCAAGTCATTCAACCCCTGCTTAAATCCTGTTACAGACGCTGCTATCTTGGTACAGGCTCAGCATGAAGCTAAATGCAGCTTAGAGTCCTCAGTGAGCCGGGATCCCGGCTAATGAGGGCCAGGGAGCAGATGGTCTTTGCGGCCCCGTCCTACCTGTGAGGCAGCCAGGCCCCTGCGCAGGAGAAGTCTTCCAGGTACTTGTCCCACTGGTCCATCAGTCCAAACATGCCGGGCTGCAGGAGTGGGATGCTTACACTCTGCTCCCAGCCCGCTTCATCTCGCTGGACCCCGTGCACCGTGTAGTTATACACAGCTCCTGCCGCCAAAGCCAGAATCACGCAGAAGCGTAAGGGGACACGCACCCCGGTAACTTCACACAACAGAAACCCAGGTCGCACTTCCTGATGGCCAGATAGCACCCACCGGGGGAGGCCCTAGGACCTCCCTGTTCGGACCTCCCTCCGCCAGGGGGCTGCTGCCCCCTGCTCTCTGCACCACTAGGTCAAGGTCGCCCCAGGGGACAGAGGTCACAGCAGGCACTGGGACAATCATCGCCACGTGTGCTTGCTGAACTTCTCTGTTCACAGAGGGGTCTGTCTTGTGTCCTTAAGTCAGCAACAGATTTCTGCTGACAGAGATGGGCACAGATCCGACCGTTTGTTCCCCGAGTTCAAAACCAGCCCCAGGTTTCTGTTCACAGTGTCAGTTTCTCCTGCCTCAAGGGAGTAGGAAGGGCGCTCATCAGACTTTACCTGCGGGGCCTGGTCACAGCCGCTGCACCTCCTGCGGGTGCGTTGCCCGGGTCTTTCCCTGCAGGCTGTCCCCTCCACGCGATATCCAGCCAAAGGAACCGTTTTGTTTAAAGTCCTGCTTTTCTTACTTTTTAAAGCAAACCACTGCAGGCCCCACCACGTGCTCGGGACTGTGTCCCTCCCCGTCTATCCCTGGGCTCCCTGCCGGGCCCCGGAGACCCGGGACCTGTGCGGTGGGCTGCGAAGGATCAGGGAGTTGAGGTTCTGGGTCTAACACAAGGTGAGGTCTCGGACAACTCAGCCTCTCTGGGCATCTGCTTCTTCCTCTCTTAACACGTTGATCGCCCACCGCGGATCAGGTGCCCCTGAGGAAACTACTGTCACCCAGATTTGGGTGACGTGGCGATCAACATGTTAAAAACTAAAAAAAAAAAAACTTTTTTAAACACAGGCGTGCGTGCTCTTGACTGAGGAGAATGAAGGCGCTTCCACGTGTTGTGCGTTGTTGGCACGGGGGCCTTGCTGCAGAGCCAGGCGTTTCCCTCTGGGAGGGCAGCACGGCCGGCCCGCCTCCTGGCGCAGCAGAACCCTGGGCACCAAGGCACCACTGGGTGTCGCCGCGATCGCTTCTCTAGAAACACCGCCCTCCTCTGAGCGGGTGCTGTGAGGCCTTTTTAGTGAAACTGCACTTACCGTTCATGTTGGTTATTCCAACGTGGAGATCAGACCTTCCGTCATATTCCCTGGAAGAAACAAGTGGGGGTTTTCCCCTCTCATTTGCATGTATTTGGCATGAAGCGTTGGCATTTAAAGGAGGAGAGCAATGGGCCTCCCCTCTTGGCTGGTGCCGGAGCTCGGCACCAGGGGCAGGCTCGTGGCAGCCCTGTCTCCAAGCTGGTTGAGCCAGGAGTCCATCTGAGGTAGAAAACACTGCCCTGCGACCCCTCGGGGTTTTCTTGGCCCCCCAGTTCTAAAGGTGGGTGTGCTGGAAGGCCAGCCCTGCTGGAGCGTGGAGTCTGCCTAACACCTGGCTCCATGGCCGAGGGGCCCAGCCGGCAAAGGCAGTCAGCTGTCAGAGAAGCTCCTCGTTCTCCCCTCCTTCCAGAGGAGGTGACAGCCTGCTCCTCAGACTCCTCAGACGGGGGTGAGAGGGTCCTGGGCGCATCTCAGTGGATTTCTACCTGAAATCGACACCGCCCGGTTCGGTCTTGCAGCCTTTGGTCTTGTGACTTGCACCTGCTTTTCCTGGACAGCCCTTATTTCCTGAAATTATTCTCTACCCGAGGCTGCGCGATAGATGTGTAATTCCACGTAATTTAACCTCCATGTGTGACCCCAGACCATCACTTCCTCGCCCTGAGACCCTCTCTGATCTGTTTCCTCACTGGTAAAATGGGAACGCCATGGCCTCCTGGCAAACTGGCTGGAAGAATATTAAGTGCCCGCTGAGAGCTGCCGCAGGGGGGTCAAGTGGATCAGAGGGATTTAGATGACGAAGCTCCTTTGTTAGACCACAGGTCTGGGTGTCGGATTACTCATTAAAGCAAGCAGTCCCACGCTTTAAGATGGCCAAGGACACCACCTTCTTCAGCGCAACCCCCAGTTTAGCTTGTTGCAGCCACCATGAGTTTTTTGAGACCCTGTGGGTTCAGAGGTGAGAATGAAACTGGGAAAATGTGTTTTCGGTGGCTGATCACAGCGCAGGGCCTTTGTGTGTACTGTCCCCAGGTCCCTCCCTGCATGCACAGCCTCACTCTTTGCTGCCTAAATCCTGCATATTCACTCCCTCCTTCCCCCCAGTTACTTCTCAGTTGTGTGACAGATACTGTCAGTGATAGTCCTGTCATTGGAATTGAAGGGCTAGTGACACAACCAGAAATGAGGTGAGATTTGCTTGCTTCCAGAGAAGACTGTTTTAGTTTTAGTCTAACAAGTTTTTAACAGATTGATAATGTGCTATGAAGGGGAAAAAAAATAGAGTGTTGCAGAAGCATATGATGGGGCAGGGCCAGTGTCACCCCATCTCGTGTGACATTTCTGTACAAATTTTTAAAAGGTGCCCCTTCTTCCTGCAGATGCAGCTCTGCCCAGGGTGAGTGGAGTGCAGGCCAAGTTTCAGTGCCCACCGCTGCCTTGGCCAGGTGCCTCTGTGCAGTCCACATCCTGCACAACCATATATGGCAGCCCTGAGGGATCCTAATCTAGTTAGACCAGAGCCGTGGTGATTCCTTTGAGTCACTGCTGGTTCTCTTTTATGAAGTGGATGCAGCTGTCTCAGGTGAGCTTTGGGAGTCAGTTCTGAGGGTGAAGAAGTTGGATGAGAGGGAAGGAAATAGTTTGGAGCTTGGCCTTAGAGGGTTTGGTGGGCAGGAGGCTCCTTGGGGTTCTACAGACCCTGACCTGTTTCAACACCACCACCTCCTTCCTGCTGATGCCAGGGAAGGCCAGGCCTGCCACTGTCACCACCACGTCATAGAATAAATGAATGCTGCTTGGGGGCCACTCTGAACACCTGTCCTGTGTCGTTTCTGGAGACCCAGGCTGAGGCTTGTTCACTGTGACATCCCTGGCGTTTCCCACTCAGAGCTGCTCAGTGAGGACCTGTTGAATGAACTGATGCTTGGGCAAATGTATCCTGAATTTTAACCACTATTAGAAAGTTTTTGAAATCCAACCAGTTACTGTCGTAGTTAGCATGAATGAGGGGCTCTTACAAAACCGTTTAGGCTTCATGATTCTGATTAAGGTGGAACCGAAGGTTCGGCCAGTTAAATTCTGAGCTGAGTGTGAAAACAATGGGATGAGAGGGAACGTGCTGGCTCAGCGTCGTGACTGGCGCCTGGGCCGGTTTTATATGCCTTATCGCTGACCCTCACAATTCTGCAAGGTCAGTGGGTCCTCATTTGACAGATGAGGAACCAGAGACTAAGAGAGGGTTCTGGAGCTGGTCTGAACCAGGGTAGAAATGGGGGGTTCTTGGTGTCAAAGCCTGCACTGTCCCCTTTGCATCTGTGGCCTCCCCGGGAAAGGGTCTGGGGTGCAGTCTGTTGTGCCCCTAAAGCTTTGACCAGTGCCTCTTACGCACGTTGGTTCATTTCACCCTCATAGGAATGGGAGGGAGATCGATTAAGGAAGTTAGCGGGCAGGGAAGTGAACAGTCAACTCCAATTTTCTTACCCCAAACCAGCACTTAAGGGCATGAGAGTTAGGAGGGTGTGTTTGAAGGAGGCAAGGAGGTCTGGGCACTAGATCATGCCATGTGCTCGACACACTTCCTAAAGCACACGCCCTCACTCAGTAGCATCCGTGTTTCTTAAACCCTGGCTTGTGCAGGGCTAGTTCCAATTCCATTTGTAAACTCAGGACTCTTAGGAAGACACAATCCTTTCTTCTGATTTCTCAATTGTTTCTTAAAGTCAGGTGGCACCTACAATTGAAACAGGCCAGCACCTCCTTCAATTAATGCACCTCCATGCAAAGTCATCTTAGTGGTCATTCCTCAGGCTCTGGGCATGGTATCTGTTTGTCACAGAAGTTACAGACTAACTCAAAGTAAAGGTATTATTTTGATAAGATGAGCTGCTGGGTCATTTTCCCAGTTAGCCTTTTAGCACAGAATCTATGGATAAAAAAATACCCAGCTTGTCAATTTCTCTCTCTTAAAATCGTGTAAGCAGATTCACTCCAGATTATGCACCTCATCTCTGCTTCTGAAACCAGCAGGCCTACATTTTAGGATTTAATACCCAGACACTGAAACAGTCATCCAGCAAATCTCACACTGCATGGCACATACTAGAAAAAGAACATTTGAGTGACTAAACCCCAGAGGGAATAGTTTGCATTATCCAACGCAACACTCAAAACACTGCACCTGAGAAACGTCCCTTGGGTTGGCCTGAGGAGGAATGAGCACTTTTCTCGATGCCCGTTGGTGAATGGATTAGCGATGCTCACAGGTGCTTCCTCCAGCTTCCTGGCCCCCACGTCCCGCTGGCAGAGAGGGCAGCATCGCGGCACGCTGAAGCTGTAGATGGACTTCTGACAGTGGTTGAACTTGATGATGGGCTGTCCGGCCTCTGTGCACTGCATGGCTTCCCCTCTCGGCACCCAGGAATGTTTCCTGGGACTTCCTTTTCCTCATCACACAGCTAGCAAGTGCCCTCCCCCTGGGGAACCCGATCAACAGTGATGTCATCCCGCCTGGCGGCTCCACAAGCCAAGCCGGCTAGGGTTAACCTGTAACCAGGCCTCCCCACAAACTGGTGTCTTAAAGAGCTAGTTCCATTTGTGCTGCCAACGTTTCTTTCCAGCCTTCATATATTTTGCAACGGTCAGTAGCCAGCTTCTACTCATCCTCTAAAGCCCTACTTTTCTGTGAAACATTCCTCAGCTTCCCCCAGCCTTCCTTTGCACTGGCAGTGCTGAATTCGTTTCTACCAGAGCTGTTACTAATTAATGAGTCATTGATTTGTCTGTGAGCTTCTTGGAGTTCGGGACCAACATTTACTATTGGATTTCTAGAATAGGTTATATCGTCTGGGTTTTGAATAAATAAATGGAATCTTCACTTTGAAGCTATTTTTCTTTTGATATTTTATATTGTAGAAGTAATCTCGCTCATAAAAAATTAACAGGACCGTGAGAAATAGGGGTAGTGGTTACCCTAGGTGGCGGGTACTGACTGAGAGAGGGCGTAAGTGGGCACTGGGGCCTGAGTCTGTGCTGATTCATGATCTAGGTGTTGATTATACGAGAGTATAATCAGTTTGTGAAAATTCATCAAGCTGTCCATTTTACTACATGCACTTTATTATTCTTCAATTTTAAAATAATTTTAAGCAGCTGCACAAAAATACATGGGAAGAAAAGGTAATGCCCCCTGTTTCTCCATAACATTTTTTCACCCACTGTATTACATTCCCAGGAGAAAAGGATAAAGTAACTGAGTATTTCCACATATTTTTCTCAAACCCCAGTGTTGTTATACTGTTTTCAAGTTCTTGTTTTTCTCTCTCATCTCGGAAGCTTTCCCGCAGTATCAGTACTATAGGTCAAGCTCAGCTTTTCAGATGCCCGCAGAGGAATCCAGAGTTTGGCTGCATCACTTTATTTAGCCAACCCTCTGTTGATGCCTGTCGTTCCAGAGAAGAGCAACTGGAGAGGGAAGACCCACGGAGAAGGTGTCGTGGCAGGTAAAAGTGCTTCAAAAAAGTGTTTCGTAATGTGATTTAAATTACAGTATGCCGAGAAGTAGAAAAGCGCATACTCGGTGTTACAATGTGAAAATGATCATCAGACTCACAGGACTGAAGAAGACCTTAGAAATCATTTCAGCTAACCTTCTCTTGTTACAGGGAAGGCAGAGGGGTTATTGCTAGACACCAGCTCAGGTGACAAGGATCTGAGATTGTTCATTATTAATATAAAGCAGCACTATTGTTTGACCCAAGTTGCTTTCAACTGAGAATATACATCAGCGTGACACAGATACCAAGAGGTATTTTTAATCCTATGAAAAGGATGGAAGGAACCATGCGTTAGTAAACACTTTCAATACACTGGCATTCTTTTAAAAAAATCATTTCTTGACCTTTTCAGTGAACAAAGCAGGATAAAAAAAAAGTACACACTCAACATGCACACACATAAAGATAAAATGCTATTTCCACTTCAGTTTTAGGACTATCATGTTTTTATTTAATTTCCTCTGTGTTACATTTGTATCTCTTTTCTTCCACACTGAAAATCTTGGTTCTCAAGGTAACAGGGGATGCTGTACCCCACTTAACACAATCTCAGAGTGACAACAGTAATACCATCATCTCCAATTACAATTAGTTTCTTTTTAAATTTTGCACATAGGCTCTCCATCTTCCTCTCATTTATTTAAATGTTTGTCCTAGATCTTCATTTCAGAGCATCTGCCATTACAAACAACAGTCTCCCCTTTTACCCTCACTAAGTTTTTACCCACAAATGTGTTTTTTTGTTTGTTTCTTGGAGGTTTGGGGGGGTAATTAGGTTTCTTTATTTTTGGAGGAGGTACTGGGGATTGAACCTAGGACCTTGTGCATGCTAAGCATGTGCCCTACCACTTGAGCTATAGCCTCCCTCCCCCTCCAAGTGTGTTTTAATGCTGTTAGTCCTTTCATCACTCCCAACTAATCATGATTGTCTGAAGTTCATCCTCTAGAAGATTCCTTAGGAAGGGCACATAGGAAGACTACTCCCTGAGCTCTTGTATGTTGATACTTTATCTCTGTTCTTCATACATGAAGGTCGATTTTTGCTGGATGTAAAATCCTTGGCTCACATTTTCTCTAATATATTATTCCATTTTCTTCTGGTATAAAGCACTGCTGTTAGATGTCTGAAGACAGACTGATTTTCTTTCTCCTGTAAGTCATGTATTCTTTTTTGCCAGTATACCCAAAGGGCTTTTCTTTTTGCTTGATTTTTTTAAACTATAGTTGATTTACAATTTGTGTTAGTTTCAGGTGTACAGCAAAATGATTCAGATATATATGTGTGTGTGTGTGTGTATTCTTTTTCAAATTCTTTTCCACCATAGGTTATTACAAGATTTTGAATATAGTTCCCTGTGCTATACAGTAAAGCCTTACTGTTTATCTGTTTTATATATAGTAGTTAGTATCTGCAAATCCCAAACTTTTTAATTTATGCCCCTCCTTCCCTCTGGTAACCATAAGTTTGTTTTCTATGTCTGTGAGACTATTTCTGTTTTGTAAATAAGGTCATTTATACTATTTTTTAGATTCCACATATAAGTGATATCATATATTTGTCTTTTGCTATCTGACTTCTCTCAGTATGATAATCTCTGGGTTCATCTGTGTTGCTGCAAATGGCATTATTCCTTTTTATGGCTGAGTAGTATTCCACTGTATAAATATACTACAGCTTCTTTATCTCATTGTCTTTTGGACATTTAGGTTGTTTCCGTGTCTTGGCTATTGTAAACAGTACTGTTATGAACATTGGGGTGCATGTATCTTTTCAAATTAGAGTTCCCTCCAGATGTATGCCCAAGAGTGGGATTGCTGGATCATATGGTAAGTCCACTTTTAGTCTTTTGAGGAATCTCCATACTGTTTCACATAATGGCTGCACCAAACTACATTGCCACCAACAATATAGGAGGGTTCCCTTTTCTCCACACCCTCTCCAGCACTTATCATTTGTGGACTTTTTAATGATGGCCATTCTGATTGGTGTGAGGTGATACCTCATTATAGTTTTGACTTGTATATTTCTCTAATAATTAGCAATATTGAGCCCTTCTGGGGTGTTAAGCTATTTTGATCTTGGGTGGTGGTTTTATGAGCGTATATATTCAGAGAGACTCAGAGGCATATGTGTATTTGTACACTTCACTGTAGTTTATGTCTGTTTTTTACAATTAAAAAAATGTTTAAAAAAGCAATGGAAAATCATTGAAAGGGTTAAAGGAGGCGAATGACATGATCCGACTTATGTATTAAAAATAGGTTTTGTGTGACCAGGGTAGAACAGGGCAGGAGCAGAAGCCAGAAGACCAGTTAAGGGGCCACTTCGTGGCTCAGGCAAGGAGTAACGGTTGCATAGAAAGGAACCATGACGGTGGAGACGAAGAGAGGTGTGTAAGCAGGGTCTGCAGGATACTGAGAACTAGAGCAAAGTGTCACGAATAATCTTGGGTTTTCACCACAGGAAAGGGAAGATAGCCGAGGACTGCCAGGAGAGAAAATGAGGTCTAAAACTTGGGGTGGGAGTACAGATTTTGAAAAACAGCACTGGGAGAGGCCAAGGCAGTCCTGTAGGAGCCGAGGTCTGGCGGGAACAGCGGAGGCAGGGTCTGAGAAAAGGCCCTCGGGCGTGCAAACGTGGGCGGGGAGGAGAGGCGAGAGCTTGGCCTCGGAGGGGTGAAGATTCTAGGGACGCCGGAAGTCGCTAAGGAATGCTGTCGGAGATGGGAGCAGACCCGTAGGAACTAACAGTTGGCTCCTGGGATGGAAGCGGCAGGACTAGGGCGCCACTCCAGGCCCCGCCCAGGGGGCTTGGAAACGCGGGACCAGGAGTGCGGAGGTTGAGGGGCCTCCCGCCCTCACCCCCGGGGCGGAACTAATTGTGACGGTGGCGAGGTTTCCCGCCGGCGCTGCAAAGGCGCCGCACCTGCGTGGCGGAGTGCGCCGGCGTGACG